TAAAAAAAATAAAGACAAGGTTTTTTTTAAAAAAGTTCCTCTTTAGCCCATATACCGTATTTTTCAGACTATAAGACGCACCGGAGTATAAGACGCACCACGATTTTGAAGAGGTAAATTAAAAAAAATGTTTTGCCTTCCCTGGCCCCCAGGAGCACTTTGCAGGCCTCCCAAACTGTCTGCATGCTCCGTTTTCACCAAAGGTGGGGCATGCAGAGGGTTTGGGAGGCCTGCAGAGTGCTCCTGGGGGCCAGGGAAGGCAAAACATTTTTTTTAATTTACCTCTTCAAAATCGTGGTGCGTCTTATACTCCGGTGCGTCTTATAGTCTGAAAAATACGGTATATGGGCTAAAGAGGAACTTTTTTAAAAAAAACCTTGTCTTTATTTTTTTTAAAAAGTGAACTAAATGAGCTCAAAGGAGTCATGCACAGATTTTTTTTTCTGTGTCGATTTCACGTAAAGATACATTGCTGAATTCGTACTACAAGGTGAAGTTTGGAATTTATCCAGTCCAAAATGAAACCTGAGCTAGCTGTGTCCATCATGAAAAAGCTCTTCTTGACATTCATTTGAGAGAAACTTGGCTTTGCCATATCAGAATTAAATGTTGGAAGCGTAACTGTAGAGGATAAATGGAGCTCCTTTGACTGCTACGGTTGAGGAAATTGACAACTGAATATGCACTTAATTTACCAAGAGGTTATTATCTAAGTTGACCTGAAAGCATGCAGCCTTAAATTTCTGACTAATCCATTTATAAAGTGATATAGATAATGCTACATTCTGTGCTGTGTTCATTCTAGGAATCGCACCACACCGTTTTAGGTGAGAAATTTAAAGCACAGTATACCACAGGACCTCATAAGGCGGCAGGAAACTGCGGGGATTTTTATAAAAAAGGCAAGGTGTATTGCCTCAACTGCCATCATGATTGGGGAATCATTGTGAAGTACAAGACCTTTGCGGACATGCCCATCATTAAAATCGGGAGCTTTTCCGTGCAGGATGTTGTTAGCAACCAGCAATTTCATTTCCGAAAATGGAAGGATGTTGATTTTGCAATGAAAGAATTTGATGTTGAAGAAATGCCTTAGAAAGTACGGTCTGTTCAAGCTTCTGTTTATAATCTTGCATGACCTAGTTACATTCTATTTTAAAGTCAAATTGGTAACTAGAGTAATATTAACTTAGCCGCCCGGAGTCCTTCGGGAGTGGGCGGCATACAAGACAAGACAAATAAACTAAACTTTCCACTTATTCCAGTGTAAATTCAAACTCCAAGGTAGCTGTGATATCTCTGATTCTTAGTATGCTTCCATTAATCAGTGCTTCTTCAAAAAAAGCTGATCTGTTTCCATTGCTCTTTTGGTTATGCAATTTAATAATAAATGTATAGATTTAAAACTTTAAATGGTCCTTGTCCCTGTTGCAACATTTTATTGCTCAGAATTCCAAAGCATGTTCCTTTCTGATAAAGTAAAGGAGAATTTATTCTTTATCTTGAACCTCTGTTTCAGAATTCATACCCACAAAAGATTCTATTGATTTTTGAAAACAGGTTTGTTACAAAAGGCTTCAATCCTGTGGTCCCATGAATGAAGGCACATACGAACGAATGCACATATGCCGAAGAATAAAGAGCCAAGCCATTTAATCGTTCTAGCAATATTAAAATTTCAAGGACGGATTTTGATAAGCGCTTTTAATGCAATAATACAGGGTTAGTAACTTCTGAGGCAGGCAGGAAAAGAAACTGGTACTGTTAATTGCTGTATAAAATGTTGAAAAGGATCTAGCCTCCATATACATGGATGATAAAAGTTTCTGTCCCACCTACAAGTACAAAATAGAGGGATGAAATACAGTACTGTAGAAGGGATGAGTTCAAATATACACATAAATTAGGCTAGGGGCCAAAAGGTTAGGGTTGACAGTGTAGAAACACACCCTTTACAAGCCTCTCCCTTCAATTCTGCTGGAACCACATCCCCCAGGAGCCCCCGTCAGCCCTGAAAGACTGGACGTTGTAGTCCTAATATGCTTGGAAGGCACTATGCTGGGGAACACTGCCCATAATTCCCTTGTTACTGTATATTTTCTTTTTCATAATTACAGCATTTATAATTAATGAGCCTTTGTCCTCAGAAAAAGGTGGGTTTCTGGATATGAGCAGTGCTTCATTTGGGGGGGTTAAGATGCCATTTTGCGAATCATATAGTTCAAGATGCCGCCATTGCGAAAATAGGTGAGCTCCACGTCTGTGTCAAACCTCATGATGGCTTGAAAAGTTTTTCCTGTGTCCAACTGGGGAGAGACCATAGAGAACAAGGAGGAGTAAGGAAAGGTACAATGGTATAAGAAGTTCAAACGGACTTTTTTTAAAGAAATTATGCTAAAGCTCCAAAGAAATAAGATCTCCTTGGAAATAACATTACATCACCACACATACTTTTGGTTGTCCTCTTTGCAAGAAAATCTCTCCTAACATCTTAAATGAGCAATCCGAGGGATGGGGCCTATGGGAAACCATGTTCAAATGTGCACACACAATATTTCAACAACTGTCGGGCTCGGGGCTGTGCACATTACTTATTCCTGCAACACCCATTATTAAAATACTCATCTCATGCAGACCATCCCATTCAACACAGTGCTAAAAAGTTGCTTTTTCACTGAATTAAAAATTTGTTTGTTCTGGGAGTCTGAACAGGGCTTCAGCAGCTTTGGAGAATAGACTGCTCTTCTCCTTTGTGGCAGCCTTTTAAATATTGAAACACTGCTATCATATCTCCGCTTTTCACTAGACTAGACATACCCAATTCCTGCAACTGTTCTTCATATGTTTTAGCCTCCAGTCCCCTAATCATCTTTGTTGCCCTTCTCTGCACTCTTTGAATTCAGTCCTTCAATAGAAACAAGCTTCCATGCGTGGGAATCCTGATTTCTCAAATAGCACTTAAGACTTATATAGCCCTTTACAGCCCTCTCTAAGCAATTTACAGAGTCAGCATATTTCCCCCAACAATTGGATCCTCAGTTTACTGACTTTGGAAGGATGAAAGGACGAGTCAACCTTAAGCAGGTCGAGATTGAACTCATGGCAGCAAGCAATGAGTTAGCCTGCAATGCTGCATTCTAAGCACTGCGCCACCATGGCTCTTTTATAAAAGCTGCAAAGCAACAAGCCAACTTTCCCTCAAAAGGGTAATATTACTTTATAAGGGAATGTGACTTAAAAACCCCTAGATTATTTCTATACCCAAAGACTACTAATATTTTCAAGCCATCACTCCTTGAAATCCTGCAAGAGCACCAAATCATAAAATATTTGAGTGGTTCAAAGTTAATTCAAGGGCTTGTTCAAGCACCAAATTTTGTTCCTTAAACCTGACACACAGCCACCCCACACAACAGCACATCCTTCATGCACGCACACACAGACGCACACACCAATACACAGAACAATGCTAGATTAAAATAATGCAACCCCTGGAAAACGCTTACTTTGATCTGGATATTCATTCCAGGTGTCAGGTCCTCTGGAATAATGATTGTGTAACGTTCCCGCCCTGTCAGTCCTAGGCTCTCTGCATCCTGGCCAGGGAGATACTGTAGAGGGATGACTCCCATGCCCACCAGATTACTGCGGTGAATCCTCTCATAGCTCTCTGCAAGGACTGCTTTGATACCCTGAGGAACATACAAGGGCATTAATAGTCAATTTTTTTTAAAAAAAAAAAAGGTTGTAGAAAAGAAGTGGCTAATTATTTTCCGGGCAACTATGCAGAGAAAAGGCCTCAGGTCCATTCTTAAGGCTGATTCCATCATAAATAGGAATTCTATGAGTATTTTCAAACATGGGTCTTATCCTATAAACGGTTGGATAATAGAGGTTGAAACTAGGATTGTGTAAATCACAATAATGAAACAGAATATTTCCGTCTGGAACTTTAATNATACTATACTATACTATACTATACTATACTATACTATACTATACTATACTATACTATACTATACTATACTATACTATACTATACTATACTATATAAATATAAACCAGATTGCCCAGTATTTTGATCACATCATTGTGAGGATGCCGCAAAGGTTGTAACTCACTTTATTCAGTGCTGTTGTAACTTTGAACGGTCACTTAATGAACTGTTGTAAGTCGAGGATTGCCTGTATATTAACTGAAGGTCATGCATTTCCCCCCTAGGATGAGATACTATCAGATACATAGTGATTCAGCAAACAGTATTTTATTTGGGCCTATTATGCAAACACATAATAGTCATAATTGGCAAAAAATGCTTTTGACATTGGAGGCATTAAGTAATGCTTGGAAACATTGTTGCACTTCTCCAATCCAATTTCAGGTAGTCTTCAGTTAATGACCATAATTGGGAGCAGTCTCTTCATCATTAAGCAATGTCATGAAGCAAAAAAATCATGACTGTGCTAACTTTCAGCAGCAGTTTGGGCAATTCTGGTTTCTGTCATTAAGAGTGATCTCATTTGATAGGATTTGTGGTATGAAGCCAGCTTGGTACAGCATACCTTAGGAAGCACACAAGCGTCTTATACAATAGACCTGGTACATTGGCAGCCAAACTATTACTCTGCAATAGCATTGCGGTCTCCTGGCCAATGTAACAACACCATACATTGTTAAGAATAATAACACCGTGATTAGTGATTTCTCCCCCATTGACTTTGCTTGTTGAAAGTTGGCAGCAAAAGTTGCAAATGCTGATTATATGACTGGAGGATGCTGTGGTGCCAGCATGGCATGCTAGTTGCCCAGTGCCTAAGTCGCAATTACATGAACATTGAGACGCTGCAGTGGATGCAACTTTGAGGACACATTGTAAATCTCCCAGCATTGTTGTAACTTTGAAAGTCACTGAATGTGTAATTGCTTACCAAGCACTACCTGTATTCCTTGTCTGGGAGCCAACGTTAAAAAATTACCTGGATAATATTCAGTTAGTGTTCAGGCCTAGGCCTGGAAATATTAACAGTTTTGGCCGATTTGGCTAATAACCTTCATAAGGATTTGCAATGAGTGAGTAAGTGTGCACCTTTTGTTTCTTTTAAACCCTTTCAGCAATTTTCAGTGCCATCCATCACAGCATCTTTCTGTACTTACTACAAGAGTTGGGGGGTGGCTGTTTTAAATAGCTCTGTTCTTTCATGAGTGGATGTGCTGTAGGGTTTGCCTTCTGTCTATCCCAACTCCCACATTTCAATAGCTTCATGAAGTGAAGCTTATGTGTACATCTCCATCCTGGGCTGGGCTAAACATGCTATAAAGGTTCAATGGAAAGAATTAAATCGAATCACATTTAAGATAGAAGTATAAAAGCCATTTCACCCTTATCTGCTTTGATTGTAATTCTGGATAGCATAGTATTCCTCTTGTAGAGCAAATCTATAACCTGAGAATCCTCCTATATATTGTAGACATTGGTAAATAGATAGAGGCCATGACTTGAGCACAGGAAGCTCAAACTGCCCAAGGAGCTGCTGATACAATTCCTCTACAGAGGAATTATTGAGTCTGTCATCTGCACCTCTATAACTGTCTGGTTTGGTTCTGCAACCCAGCAAGACAGACAC